AAAATCAGTTTTTACCAGACCGTGATATTTACTTCCATTATTAATATAATACACTTAGAATAGGAAACACCAGAGAAATCACACTTACTTTACTATTATCTGGTTTCCTATATGTGCCCAGTTAATGCCCTTCGTATTTACGTACTCATCTCCCACTGACATCAACAGAAGTCATGCATAAAATCCACAGGCAATAATTGAACAAGTTTTAGTCTCGGAACTGTATACGCCATTTTTGCGTATCTATATGTACACAGGTAAAAGGTGACTTCATATTTCATAAAGTGATCAAATGTCTTACTTTAAAATATGTAACTATTTAACATAACACTCAAACACACTCTGCGAAATCATCAGACGTGTTACTTTTAACATAACTTTGTAACACACTTATTGAACCATCCTTCTGGAAAGTTGCAATTTACTATTTCTGTTAATGACTAAGAGCACATTTGATGCTATGCAACTCCAAAAGTCTACCAGCACTTAAATAACCCAGTACTGGATGGGTATTGATTATGCATATACTCAGATGGACTACTTCCTTGATTAAACAAATATATTGATCCAAAAAGATGAAAACTATATTATTCAGAGAAGAATCAAAGTAACTTTTGATGGTATTATATTACCTACAGATGATTTTACATTATTTCAGCTAAATCATTCTGTCTTTAAACATTTACTTCCCTTTCATTCTATACAGCTTCAGCTTCATAGCATCAAAATACAAAGTTAGTAATCCCTATACATACAATTTAAGCACCTCATAAGACCAATACTTACCCTAACAGAACACTGTTTCGCACTATTTTATCAAAATAATAGATTAAAATTTTCACTAGGAAATACACTTTTTGGAATTACAAGAGCATTTCTAATCCCACATCTTGACTGCTAAATGAATGTCCATTAAAGTATATTTGAATTAGTTAAGCATAATATGCAGAAAAGTAAAATCTTAACAATATCAAAACATTCCATACTCCTCAACTGCAGTTTTTGAAGTGCTTGTTAGTCAATTCGAGCAAAAGCAACTGAAAAGAACTTTGAAATTAAACTAAGAGAAGCACAAGGAAAACGGTACGGTTTTTGACAGGGTAGACGCCCAGCCAGGAGATCCCAGTTGGAAGTCCACAGAAAGTCAGTGCTACAAATGACAAAAAGATACCCAGAGCATTACATTCAGATATTATGTGTGCTCCCTGGAGAAGCTCAAGGAATGAAAGGGTTTCATGCAATGTTTTGTTAGAAAAAGTAAAATCCAAGAGTAAAAAAAGGATCCTTTTGTATTAAGTTCTCAACAAAATATTTTAGTTTTAATCAAAGAAAAGCATACATTCTCTTCTGTCAGATTTGTTTGCTTTCATAGCATATAGAAAATACTGTATATTCTGTAAGGCTGTAGTCATTAACGTCCCACAACAACTCAAAGTCAGTCTAAGTCAAAGTCAGTCTTTTTGGCTTGGTAGTACTTTACACCCATTTGAGAAGGCTCTGAATGACCAAAGGCAACACAAGAAATCTTTACTAGAGCCCATGGATTCTACGCATAAGGAAATCAAGTTCACATTCCCTACTGTGCACAAAATTGCAAACCTGTAATAAAACTAATGATTGGAATCTTGTTCAATTTGCAGCAAATGGGGATACTGATAGAGGTTCCAGGATCACACTCTGTCAAGAGAAGTTGCATGGAACCTTCTAATTTTTATCTTTATTATTTATATGTTTATATGGGTTCAGGCTGCACTAAACCTAATCTGAGCTGTAGCTTCAGTGTACGATTCTTTCAGACAAAAAGGAACTGGGACACACAGAGAAAGACAGGGTATGTGCCTAGCCTCAGCGTAGATTAAGTCCTTCATGGATGAGGTTAAGTCACTTCTGGTAGTAGTTCTACAAATTAGGTGATTGCCCTGTTGTTTATTAGCGTCATATTTCAAAATTTTGAGATCCATTTTTAGTGGTATATCCAGCTTCACATACACCTAAATACACATGTGAATAAGAAAATTCAAAAATTGGTCTTCCATCCAATAGCTTGTCTAATCTACATTAATCACAACAGTATTCTTCTGTGAATGATCAATCAACTGATTATTCTTCTTTTAATTGCATATAATACAGCTTACTGAAAGGAAACTCTGTAAAAATATTAGAACCTACCAAACAAATGCCACTATGTCCTCACATCAATTCCACTTAAAATTCTTTAAGACTGGAAACCAACTATTCAGAAAGCTAGCAGGAACTGGAAAGACACATAATTTGTTTCCTTCAACAATAAAGACCACATGGAGTTACAATGTTGACACAGTGCTATTGAAGCACCTAAACCCACAGGAGATGTACACAGCTGGATCTCCATAATATTACAAAGTCCGTGTCAAATCTGTCTGGGATCCATATGCGTATACCTATTTATAACGTCTCCACACTGTGTTAAGTGCAATGCTAATGAGATTAATGCATAACAGATTTTAGATCTACTTACCCATAATTAAATTGTGCAAACAATATTTGACCGTAAACTTGTAAAACTAACTGGTGAGTAATACGTTCAATGTCAAGGCTACTTTGAACAATCTAGATGCACAGACACACTCTTCTTGTAAACTTGTATTTTCAATGCATTGATGTCCAAGGAAAGGGATAGTATCCACAACTTCTAATATAACATTGCAATTTAGAAAAAATACCTTTTGAAAAAACAAACAAAAAAAGCAGCTTTCTCAAAGATGCCTAAAGTCAAAACTAAGGAAATCTAATTCTTTATAAAATGCATGGGAGCTACTTCAAAAAGTTATGCGCATTCCTCTGTAAGAAAGGAAACAGGAAGGCAAGAAAAGGATCCATAATAAAAAAAGCAAATAATGATACTATATTCTCCAAATACACAAGGTTAGTGGAATTGAAGTGTTATTCTTCAGAGAATGGAAATTCACTCCAAGTGGAACCAGATGGGAGAAAGCGTATGACAGGTAAAATATAAGCTGGATATGAGGAAGGCAAAAAGAAATAAGAAGAGCAGATAGCAAAGGATACAAACCCAAATAACAATAAAGCCTATTAGTACATCAGAAGCGGGAAACTTTCAAGGGAATCATTGAATTTGCTAGAGCTGGGATTGAACAGAGCACTAGAAGAAGAAAAGACAATCCAAATTAATTTTCATCAGCCTTTGTCACGAAGATGTTGGAAAAACACATACGCGACTTTTCTGATAAAGAGACTAACACTTCTTCAAACTGAAAAATCAAAAAGGGGTGAGGAAACACAATAAATTGAAAGCAATAAATGATGAGGCATGAGCTCCGATACCACTTGCATCAACAGGTGTTTTACCATTGATTTTAGCACTGACAGTCTTTTACTTCAAAACTGAATGGCAAAAAGACCAACAGTTTCAAAATACAAAAGGCTGAGCTGGGCATCACAGTGGACTGTTCAGTGCGCAGCAGTGGTCAGAAGAGCAAGCAAAACAGTAGAATATAAAAAGAATGAGACAGGGACGGTAGGGAAGACTACATTTTCAGTCAACAGCCAAAGTCTTCTGGAGTATCCATCCAGCTTAGGGTTCTGACTCTAAACCAACAATAGTGGCATATGACAAGAGTTTGACAACAATCAAAAATGATTATGGGAGAAAATGTAAAAAGCTGGAAAGAACCAGGAAGTTCACTTAGCAAAGAGAGGAATAAGAGGGGACACCGTAGAGCTGCAAAGAATACTATAAGATATAGGTAAACAGGATACTCTTCCACTTTCTCACACTACTAGACCAAAGGGCCAATCGGGGCAATAAAAAGTTACCAAGTCAAAAATAAAAGGACTGAAACATTTTACTGCATAAACCACAAAACTGGGTAATTACTTCACAAGGACACCTCCATGATAATGCCAAGGAATATCTTTTTGCTATTGCTTTTCTCTCTTGTTCATACCCATATAAAGAAATTAATGACACGGCAATAAATGTAAGTCTTCAAAACTACTCCTTTAAGGGAATACGCTTTCCCTTTCCTCTTGCCCTAATGGATTAAACTTTTCAGGTTGGATATATGCCAGGGGAGGAAGGGGAGGTAAGATGAGATACGGAGCATGGTTGCAGCAAGGATGAGGACAGCTAGTAGAGATGCTTCAAGTGCATGCTCAAACTGCAGTGTGCTGTCTGTTCTGTAAAGCAGGTGGTTGATGGCTCAGAAATCTGCCAGCTGTTGGCACTGGATATATTGGGTCCCAATCCAGAATTAAGACAGAAGCACTAAACTATCAATGTGTGAAATTTGTGACTTAAATTACAAGGTAGGGCCATCCAAGGAATCTCTTGCGTAATTCACGACACTTCAGAACTTCATTTATAAATCAAATAGGAGGAAAGTCTATCATTTCTGCTCTGTTGAGCACAGATCCACACACAACTTTGGTAAGAGCTGCACAAACAAGCTCACCAGAAACCACAGTATTACAGACGTGCTCTTCACAATACTCATTCACACAATTCTACAAGTAATTTCAATACACTATCATTCAATAAACACTATAAAAAACTAGTCATAAGTGTCAAAAATACAGAAATCGCTAAAAATAACAAAATCAGTCTGGTGTGGGGTTGTTGTTTTTGTTGTGGTTTTTTTTTTCCAAATGAATGCTTACAGACACTCTTTTGCAATGTTTTTCCATATTGGACTTTGTCCAACTTTATTATATGATTCACGGGCTTGCTATTAATCATTTTGTCTGTCTAATACTGTAGAAAAGGAAACTACAGATTCTACAAAGCTCCAAATACTTACTAAGAGGCTCCAAAAGCAGCGAAATTATAGTCTCCAAGTTGAACGATAAACTTTGACTGACTTTCAACCTCGAAACGGTGAGTAATCTGAACACAAATGAAGCGCAAAACTACTAAGTGTAACATAAGAATAAATGTTATCAATAAATACATGTGTAACTTGAAACATACTGCTTTAGAAATAGCTGAAACCTTGACTTACTGTGGCTGTGCCGGAGACAGTTTGTGCATTTGTGTCAGCTGCACTCTGTTCAGAGTGTGTCTGAGCAGGAGGGTACATGTTTAACGTGTGCTCTGGAACAGTGGTTTGGCCTGTGTAGTCTGGAGCTGGATGAGGATGTGGGGCTGTATATTCTGCAGGGATACCATTCTGAGGTGGAGCAAACTGGGCTGAGGCATAAGGCTGTGCCATTGTGTCAGGAGGTGCTGTAGCTTCCTGATTACCCTGTAAAAATCAAAGAAAAAAAAAGGAAGAAGAAATGTGGCGTAAGATAAAAATAAGTGATGATCACAGACATGTAACACAGAAAGCGATGATAGCATTCTGCTAAGATCGTTGGCCTGAAAAGGGCATAATATTTGTTTCTTGAGGAGAAAATTTCTTATCTGAATTAAATCCATTTTGCTAACCCTATTAAATCTTACTATAATTAGACAAACAAAACTGCTGTTCTCTGGATAACCGTACACTATTCTTTAACTGAGAAAGGTCAGTAAAATCTACCTGAACTAATGCCTCAACTCAGACAATGAAGAGGGACAAAGCTCAGTTTATTCTAAAGGCTGCTGAGCACAACTGCCAATACAGTGCTCACGTAAGGTTAGCTCCGCTCATAGCAAACAGTATTAATTCTCAGGAAGGAAACGTACAGAACAATCTTTCAGAACCTATGTAACAGATGTCCAAAATAGGATGCTGCAGATGACACAGCATTAGAAACCATTAATACAGGGGCTATCCCAAACTCAAATGAGCTGATTTACAAGATAAAGTTATCCCTCTAAATATGAAGCAATATAAAAATGAATATTTGAGTAAAACTTTATTTAGTTTTTAAAATACTCTGCCATTTTCCCACCAAAGTGCATACAAATACCTGCACCCAATTATTGTAGGGATTTATCTTATTTGTACTTATCAGTCCTTGACTTCCTAATTTCAAAATAGGCTGGATGAATAAAAGAGAGTCTTTTGCACTTCATACTTAAGGACATTTCCAGCCAATTTCAACTAATTTGAACATCAGTTCTCTGACATGAACTGGTCCTAAACTTTTAAGAATTTGCAATATCACAGCATGGGAACAAGCCTTGCTACATGGCAGGCTTATAAGGGAAAATCAATTTTTCCTTTGTAAAAGGCATTCAGTATAACCTAAAACCCCAAAACTTTACATCAGCAATCAAACCCTCTCTAATTTGAATCCCATCTTTGCTACTATTTTAGCATACAGCCTTGAGCAAGTAGTTTACATTGCCTCATTCAACGGTCAAATGAAAACAGTGACATTTACCTCCTTCACGGGGTTAAGTCAGTAAGTTTCATTTGCATATATCTACAATCATTCCAAGGTTATTGCTGCACTGAAACTTGCCCTGTTTAAATTCAGAGGAGGTTAAAAACTCTTGTAAATGTACACTTACACCGTCTTATATTAAAAAAATGGTAAGGTCCCTTTCTTATTTCTTTTACCTAATATTTTCACTATTAAAGAATAAATAAACCCTGATGAAGTAAAACCCAACAATGACTGAATTACACCTGAGACATTTATTAAATGTTTAAGAAGTGGGGGAGGCAGGGAACCTTAAATTTTTTAATCAACTGTTTCAGGAAAGACTTCATCAAGTGGTAAGTATGAACAACAGCAAATCGAACTTCTGCCTATATAAGCATTTTCACTGTGCTGGCTTTGAAACACAGTAGCCAGTTACTGCTGGTCCTTAAGCTATTCCTTCATGTCAGATGCTAAGCATGGCATTAAAGTCAGCAGCTGGCAAAAAAGAACAATAATGGCAACAAAGGGACCAAGGGCTAATGTCCAGGTGCATTTGATCTAAAGGTTTTTATACTGCCTCGAGTCCTAAACCAGATGTTGCTGAGACCCCCACTGTTTCTCATTAACATGACAGCAGTTCCGTAAGACCCTAATTAATATTCAAAGCATTCATACCTAGTGCTAATTACAGCTAATATTTAATTAAGAGAGATGAACTTTTATATTATTTTTACCAACAACTCCAAATAATTCACTTTTTAGATTTACCATAAAATGGCACACTGCACTGGTAATTCCAGCACCCTCGAGCTACTGAGACTCTTCTACCTCTTTCATTAGGCTTGTTAAGCTGAGGTCTGGATCACTTATTTAGAAGCAAGATCCCATTAGTAAGTAAACAACGAAGGCTCAGGGGTTTGTTTTCTTAAAATAGGTGCCTGCTGTAGCCTTTCCTAGCCTTTAAAATTAGTGTGAATTTATGATTCACAATTAATTCAACAAACACAGTATTACAATGTAGTATAAGAGCATGTATGTATAAACATGATCTTTACTACTTGTATGGGTATTGTTTAGAATATTAATTTATATCAAGAACAATGCAGTGTCAACTAACACATATTTGTATATACATGTGGCTGATGAAAACCCCAAACTACGCAGAAGTCAGGTACATTTGAATAGATTTTAAAGAACCAAAAATTCTTTAAGTATAATCACCTGAAATGTCCCTTTATTGTGCCCTTTAAAATACAGTGAACTAAAATGAATAAGGTAAATAATAGATCTAATGCATTAAGTTGAAAACATGAAATGGCCCTAAAAGCAACAGGAAATCCTGATCCTAAATTAGCCTATGAACTCAGGTATTAGAGTAATCTCAAAACTGCAGATGACAGTACACAGACAGCGCTTAATACAAACCTAGGCATGAGAGGCTAAACAGAAGTTGTCCCTTCAGACTCAGTTCTAAGTATCTTTAAGATTAAATGACCCCCTTAATGCTCACTTTGTGCACGGTTTTTAATAAAGTAGTTGTTGGCAACAGAAAGAAGAACAAAGGATGGCAGAGAGTCAGGCTCTGCTAAATGTTCTGGCCTGAGTTTTAATGAAAACCACATTTCAACTGAAAAATATGCTTTACGTGGCAGTGTATAAAATCAAATTCATCGCTTTCTGGTTAAATGTTGAACTCTAAAGAACAAAAAAAAGAAAGCATTCCAATGATGCAGGTAAGTGAAGTCACTCCTATTCCATTTATATTACTCCATTTGAAGAAAAGCTTAGAATTTAAAATGCTGCTAGTATCTCAGATCTTAACATGCTTTTTCAGCATCCTCTCCTCTGAAAGGATTTCATAATTAAGAAACGCATCAAAAGTGTCAAAATGTAATAAAGCAAGCTTGTTATGTTTGTACACAAAAGACAGAGCACAGAAAACATTACTTATGCAGTGTTCCTTTTTAAAAACACATTTGCAGCATAAAAATGTATTCAATGAAAACCTTTCTGCTTGCCTGCATTTTAAAGTCTAACTAAGTTTATTGTTTGTTCTACTCTATTTTCTGTTTGGTGCATTTTGTTTCTTTGGCAAGAGATATTTCACATTTAGAGAAAGCCTCTCATACTGTAGTTAAATGAGCCAAACTGCATCATATCCTTAGGGCACAGAAACGAAGAAGAAAAATGCAACATTACTCTGTAAACCTGCTGGTTATAAGAACAGCTCAGTTCGATATATCGAGCACAGCAGATACATAATCACGGCTGCAGTTTGCCCTCCTTCAGACTTAAGCAACAAAACATGGATAAGAAGTCTCGCATGCAGTGGTGCAGCTGGTTATAAGAAATGCCCTGGCTCGCCTAAAATCAAGAGTTTCAAGTGAAAATAAAAGCGAAAATACCTGCTGTACCATCCTGCTCCCTTTATTCTCCATAAACTTAGCAGCTGCTCTAGTCCCAGGCCATACAGCATCTGCCCAAAGCAAGCATCAATTATGGATGAGGGCTTGTGAGCAATGTAATGTGTGCATGAGTGTGGATGATCGGGGTGTTGAAGGAGGGGGAGCTAATGCAAGGCTTACTGACCTCCCTCTCAACATCTGACTGCTCCCAAAACCTAATCCAGATGGGACTCTTTCAGTTTGCTGGGCCTCGCCCCATCAATCACAGCAGGCCACTCCTCTGTCTCCTGCTACTAGTTATAGAGTGCACCACTGAGCAGATGATTACACACAGAAGAAGAAAAAACACAGCTTGACTACATTAATAGCTGTTTAAAAAACATTAGAAATGCTACTATCTAAGTTGCCGGAAGCTGAACATTTTTGTTTTAAAATTAAGACGGCTGTATTCAAAGTTACAAAGTCCCCTAAACTTCAAGTGCTTTGGCTTTTCGATAGCTATGTACAGTAACATATGTGCATTTCTCTGTGATTAATTCATCTTACATGTGGCAGAGTTAATACCAATAAGATTTCTATTTTAAAATTGCTGAACTCCACAAGTAAACCATAAGTATTGAACTAGCCTGTTTTAGATTAAATGTACTTTATCCTTCCACACAAATGAAATATTGTTTCCTTTTTTGTTTCATTTCATGACATCCCTCATGCTTAGCAGGAGAAATATTTCAGAAATGCTTCCAAGGTTTCGTTCTGTGAGGCACTTTAAGCAACTTAATGCTTCACTATTAAAGGAACTTTCCTTGATGCTGTGGAAGTAGTTTTAAAATGATTAAACTTCTAATTAAATCACATAATAAAGAAAAAAAAACAACTAAGAAGATATAGACAACCCCAAAGAATACACATTTATTGCCACTGTCATGGACTACCTACAGACACAAGAATTCACAAACAGGGCAGACGTTTAACATGGGAATTATTCTTTAAAACGTTCAAATTCTAAGGGGTGGGCAGAGCAGCAGATAAACAGCCATCAATTAATCGTTAAACTTCTATTCCAACTGAAATATATTGGAATTCTTTAAAGTGGCAGTGTAATTCTTCCAGATTTGTCGCTGGCACTCCCCTATTAATGATAATAAAAGCAGCCACTTCGAATTTTTCAGAAGGAATCAGACATCCAACCACACTGGACCGATAATCACAACTGACTGACTCCGCAAGCCTTCTCTGCTGTAGCTTAATTATCTGACCAGGCCACTTGACTCAGATCATTTGCTGCTGCAATCATACAAAATAAATTCTCCAGCCACCTCTCTTTTTTGGAAGGTTCAGCACAGAGCCAAATTCAGATTTAATTTAAAAAAAAATCTCGTTCCAAAAGAAGGGTGTTTTCAAAAGTAAGAAAGTCAATGCAAAATAATTTTTTTTCAGAGAGCATAGGGGGAAAAGGTAATACTACCTTAGCAAGAAAGTACCCTTTCTCTTCTCCCATTACAGAGAAACACTTACTTTTGGTCCTCTTAACATATAACATT